GAATCCAGATTCATTACTATGTATTCTAAAACTTTCATCTTTGTCTTTTTCAACGCTGCCCAATTTCTAATCCGATCGATCTCATGTTTTGATTTCGTCTACAACTCTAATTTCAATACCACCAACACATTTCTAGTCGATGACTCCACTGTCACATCTCCACCGTCGATCCTCACCCTCACCAACCCAACCCATTACTCCATCGGACGTGGTTACTACCCTTCAAGAATCTCCGTCGTCTCCTCCGCCTCGCCGCTCCCATTCGCCACATCATTCATTGTTTCCATGGTTTCACACAAAAACATGCCCTATGGCAGCATCGCCTTTATCTTCTGCAACAGTGGCTTCCTCCCAGAATTCAGCATCTATGTCAACCGCGACATCTGTGGCGTCACCATCCCCACATCCCCCTCTTACAATTCATCTGCAGTCGCTGGATTCTACGGAGACAGAGACGGCCAGAGATTCACGCAGCTAAGTGATCAATGGATCAGTGATCAGTGTCACCATGGCTAGAGCTGGCTCGATGAAACCCACAAGACCACTCATAACCATTCCTTTGAATCTCACTGGACTTTATCCTCAGGATATGTTCGTCGGACTCACTAGAGCTTCAGGACAACTTGTGCAAAGCCATAGGATCCTCTCATGGAGCTTTAGCAACTCCAATTTCTCCATTGGTCATGCTTTAATCACTAGGAATCTTCCTTCTTTTAAATTGTAAGATGACTTTGTCTTTAGGTCTAAAGGCTTCATTGCTGGGATCTGTGTTGGTGCCTTTGTGTTATTATTACTCTGTGTTATTGGGATCCTTCGTTTCTATCTTGTAAGGCGGCCAAGGATGGGGCTCGACGAAGATGTTGAAGAATGGGAAACAGAGTATTGGCCTCACAGAGTGCAATACAAAAGCGTTTTGGAAGCAACAAAAGGGTTTTCCGAAGAGAACATGATCGGAGACAGAGGGAATTCAAACGTGTATAAAGGAGTGTTGGAAGGCAAACAAGTGGCGATTAAGAGAATCATGATAAGCCCTCATGAGAGCATGGCTGGGACGAATGAGTTCTTAGCTGAGGTCTCGATCTTAGGGAGGTTAAGACACAGGAATATAGTGGGACTAAAAGGCTGGTGCAAGAAAGGAGGAGAGAGTTTCATATTGGTCTATGAGTATATGGAGGATGAAAGCGTAGATAAGCGGATATTTGATTGCAATGGTACGTTGAATTGGGAGGAAAGAATGAGGGTGATAGGAGATGTTGCCTTAGGTTTATTGTATTTACACGAAGGGTGGGAGTCAAAAGTGTTGCATAGAGATATAAAGTCAAGCAATGTGTTGCTTGATAAGGACATGAATGCAAAAGTAGGTGATTTCGGGCTGGCCAAGTTACAGAACACTAGAAAAAAGATGGTTAGCACGACACACATGGTTYGAACAGCYGGGTATATGGCACCTGATCTGGTTAAGACAGGGAGAGCATCAACACAGACCGATGTGTATAGCTTTGGAGTGTTTGTGTTGGAGGTAGTGACTGGAAAAAGACCAATAGAGGAAGGAAGAGAAGGGATAGTGGAATGAATATGGGGACTAATGGATAAAGAAAAATTGTTGGATGGTTTAGACGAGAGGATAAAAGCGAAAGGAAAGTTCAAGACTGAGGAAGTAGAAATAGTTCTGAGAATAGGACTGTCGTGTGTACATCCTGATCTGAGAGTGCGTCCAAAGATGAGACAAGTGGTGCAGATATTAGAACAAGTGAGATTAGTGGAAGAGGATGGTGAAGGAGAAGGCATGGTTGTTGTTGGGCATGGGCCTCATAATTGACAAATTATGAAGCCCATCGCCGAGCTCGGCCCGGCAGAGTTAAAAGCCCAGCGTACTTTCCAAGAAATCCTACAGAAATGTACTTCCTCATTCTAGTATAAAAAGGGGACCCCTCTCTTTGAGTTGTCCCATCACTTTTTTCTCTTTTGGAGTAGTACAAGGGACTAAAGAACTAACTGTTTTCTGGACTCTAACTAATCTAAGAGAGAATAAATTATTTTCGTACATTCTGCCAGAATAGTACGAGAATTTATCAAAGAGTGATTTTTATACGCGCTCATCATCGATCTCAGAGTACTTATCACTCAGGCCCGACCTCAGAATACGTGTCAGTCAGCCCCGACCTAAGGATATTCGCTTACTATCCAGTTCCCGACCTCAAGAGCTCGTTACCCAGTCAGTTTGTATATACAAGGTCTCTGAAATTCTCCAACGCACAATTTTAATTCGGAAATGGAGGACAACCAGTCCGAACACAGCACAGCCAACCAGGAGATGGATACAAGGAATCACGACCCTCAGACAGTGCCCGTAATCATCGAAAATATCACTGACCAAGAAGTCCAAGCTGTCATTAACACTGAGCCCGCCGGGCAAGAAGTCGTACCCACCCAACAAGCTCAGGATCAGATGACAGCTATGATGGAGGTCATCATGCAAAGATTCGGCCGACAAGAAGAACAAGCCCGCAGCACCAACTCGAGGTTGGAACCTCTCGCTATGGCTCAGACAAACTACCGAGCACAATTGGATTAGTTGAATCCGAGATCCGCTCACGATTCGCCCCGGACTCGAAGGAGCTCGTCGCCAACCCCTGAACGGTAGGCGCGAGCGGAGACAACCGGAAGATTAGCCAACCTCACCATCTGGGCAACTACTGAACACCCGAGCAGCTCAATGATAGCTCGACCGACCTCCCAACATCGTGACTCGATCTCGCATGAAGAACGCTGCATGTTGACGCATGATCGAGACCTGAAATCGAGCGGATGCAAGCCCG